AAATAACATCACAGTCATGTGTCTACGTGTGTAGTTTTTCGGTTTTCAAATATTCAAACCGGCAAAAAGCTATTCAAATATTCAGGTGATGATCAAATATTCAAATTTTCTGTATATTGGGGACTACCATGTAGTAATTAATGGTAGGGGCCTACTCTCCTTTAGATGTATTTTCCCAATAATTTTTAAAATTTACTTAGAACTCAAAAAAAAATTTAGGAACCATGTTGTGCAATTTCAGATGCAATTTCAAAACAAGAAATTGAACATTGTACTTGGGGCTGGATTAAGTGCTCCCTAGGCATCAGTGTTTTGTAGGCCCTACTCCATCCTAGTCACCAGCACCGTCTCATATAGCGCTGGTAATCGCTGGAGCCTTGCATTGATGTTGATGCTCAGCTGTAAGAAAGCCAGGCCCGTGTACTAGCTAGTTTAAAGCGTTCTCATAATCGAAATATTCAGAGAGAGAGATGCTAAATCTTTTTAGAACCTTTTCTTGTGTGCCGGTGGGGATACTGGTGATTGTGTGTGTACACTCAGGTATTTTCATAGGCCCTAACATTTTTCATAGCCCCCTTAAATTTTGTGTACATGTAGTCCCTCAATTTTTTTGTAGGCCCTAGGCACAGTGTCTACCGTGCCTAATGGATAAACCAGCCCTGTTTTTTTTTACCATTTAGCTCTTGAGCAAAATTGACCAATTCTGTATTTTCACCAATTCATGCACCCTTGAGTCAAAAGATTTTAAGAAACTCACCTCAAATGTCATGATGATAGCTCTTCCTAACAGTGGAAAATTGGTTAATTTTTATATAAGACCGTAAATGCTGTAGCAGACAACTAATTAAAACAGTCACATTTGATTGAGCACACTGTGTTGGCTGAATTACACAAAGTATCAACTGTTGCAAGGAAGGAATCTCTCAAAACTTCAAATCTAGAATTTCTCAGGACAACAGTCAAAATTTGGAATTGGAAAAGTTTTAAACTGCCGTCAATGGTTCAGTTAAGTTCGTGCAAGATAAAATTATTTCAGATTTTCTTACAGATTTTTCTGGAGCAATCTTTTCTAATGACAGCAGGGTTTTTTATATCAGGCTGCTCTACTTTTTTTATTTGTATATTCCAGGTTAATCCAGTCAGTGAGCAGTTTGCTGCAGTCTAATTCATTTTCAAGATAATTTTTTTATGTCAAGGAAAATGTATCCACCGAATGCCAGAACTATATTCTTATTATGAAAAACCCTCCATCAAAACCATGCATGCCTTGATTGAAATCACTTGAACAAGGAAGTTTGAGGATGTTTCTCAAGGTTTGTTCCTGTAGTCATGCAAAGGACCACTTCTCTGCACTACTTTCGAACTTTTTGGATAAGTCCAAAAAGTACTTTTTAACAAGCCAGAGTGACATGTTAAAATTCAAAGGCTGGCTTATTTCCCTGATTTTACATTAGATTTTACACTTGCGGTATAATGTGCAATTTGTAAATATGCCAAGTATGCATTTTAATTTGCACAGCAGACCAAGATAGTTTTAAGGAAAGACCTCTACACTGTGCCATGCACTGGTGCATATGGAGGACCTGGGAGTTTAAGACTGGGATTACATGCTTTTCTTGGTTTTGATGGAGGGGAAGGGGAGGGGTTGGGAAGAGATCAATGTAGATACCTCATGCTTACCTAAATTTTGCCGTCTGCGTACATGTATACCATCACTTCGTAGCACGGGCAAGTTCACACTCTTTTCATCGAGCTGTGTATGATCATGTAGCAATCAAAGATGCTTGAACTAGTAGGAGGTGCACGTACAGTGTAATCTGAGAAAAAAAACATTAAAAACCTCATGAGTTTGTTGGTTTTAGAGAAATATTGGTCTCGTTATAACACACTTTTAATAGTAACAATGCAAATGAGGGCCCCCCCCCCCCCCCATTTCAGCCACCCTTTAGTTTTTATGGATTGTGTTTTTAATGTTTAAGGAATTGAAACTGAAAGCACCAGTAGGCCTACCTCCCAAACGTTACAGTGCACTACTGGAAGTGACATTCCTTCCCAGCTTTCAACAATTATAATCCCCTCCCCTCCCCCCCCCCAAAAAAAAAACCCAGTGACTGCACGGGTATACCGGTACGGCCAGCATACGGGCTACTTTGCTTATTGCTACTGCAGGTAGGCCCACCTCTTTACTTTAGCGGCGCGCACAGCGACAAGTCTGAGCATGGCCAACCCCCCAAAAAGAAAACCATCTCATAAGTTAGAGCCTCACTTTCACCACACAAAGGTTAAAAAGATAGAGTGAATTATTTTTTGAACATGTTGATGAAAATGGTCATAATTACCTGTGAAAAAGCACAGTAGATCATGCTTAACCAAGCCATTCAGACCACGGCGCGAAAGAAATACCTGCCACATATTGAGGGCGCCCTCGATGATAAAAGTGAACTCCTGGATTTTTTTAATTTTCTTGCATTTCATTAGTTAAGTGCAGTGTAGCTTTGTTATTTTTTTTATTACTTAACAATATGCATACAGCTTCGGATATGACTCGACTCCTACTAGTTCCATAGTGGTTCATTTCCGAAACAAACCACAATTCAATGAATGACCACGACTGCCAAAAAGTAACTCTTCTTAATTTATTTGTATAAACAACCTAAATAACACAGTCAACAATTACACAAACTTCAATACATTTTTGGCTTTTATCGATATATCAACGATTGTAAGTTCAATTTATTAAAAAGAACCCAAGTTTTTATCCAACAATAATTTTGACATGAAATAATTTGTAAACAGGGCAAGTTTCAGCGAGTGACTCATATTGCCTACAAAAAAAAATGAGAAGTGTTCGAAAGCGCATCGCTAGCAACTTTCAGCATATCTAAAATAAAAAATCTTAAGGTAGAGTACGTCAAACATAGCATTTCTCATAATCTCCATGAATAAAGTTACTTGATAACGGTACTTTCTTTGGTTTTTTTTTTCAAACTGATATCCCAAACTTTTGTCTCAATTCCATCATAATCTTCAAAAAGAGAAATATGAAAATGGCAAAGTAATCTTTTGCCTAGTTTTCCACAGTTCTACTCTTCTAACTTATTCTTAAAAAAGTTGTTTCTTCGCATCCCAAGATGTTCGTCTATTGATAATCTGCAAATTATTTTACGGATGGTGGTGGCGCCCTTGTGTTTTTCGTTTGAGAGGTTTGGGGCACAAGAGGGCGCTATTACAATTTAACGGTGTGCTTCTTAAAATATTTTGACCAATAGAGGGCGCTACCACATTTTAAAAAAGTTTTCAACTCAAGGGGGCGCTATAATTTTTTTTTTTAAATTAAAAAATTTAAAGCGCCCTCTATCTAGGATCTTTTGTATTGAATGCAGCGCCCTCTTTTGTATGGATGACCAATTCCTTTAAATTGTGATAGCGCCCTCTACCACCCAAGGTATTTTAATTAGCGAGGCGTAAATTTGTGATGGCGCCCTCTTGTGTCAAAACCTCAAACAAAACACTTAAACTAGAGGACACCATCAACGGTCAAATCAAAAAAATTGATATAAAAAACAATTGGTAATGGCGCCCTCTTTCCAGTGAATGACCTTTTTTTTTTAAATGAGATGGCGCCCTCTGTTGCTGCAAATATTTAAATTAAGCCGCTGTTAATTTGTGATAGCACCCTCTTGTGCCAAAAGCCTCTCAAATTACCCAAAAAAAAGGTGCTAGTATTTTTCAAAATCGGCCTTTTTATGCGCGCAAGTTTTTCATTGCATTTTTGGACAAGGGCGCCATCAATGGTCACTGGAAACAGTCGCTTATTTATTGCAGTTGCAAAGCTTTGCTAGTAGTATTTCCCCCCCCCCCCTTGCCGTTATTGTTTTAAATTAAGTGACAGCCCACCCCCCCCCCTTCCAAAACAAAATGAAGGCACTTGAACACAACACACACAAATCACACTATTTTCACATTACACAATGGCACATCACGCAAGGCATCGTGGAATAGAGAGCCTTGAATTAAACTACAACAAAATATTTGCAAATATTTGTAAATAAATTATTAAAACAGTAAACAAGTTTTTCAAAACAATAAATTACACAATCATAAAACTTTGACATCTATAAATGTCACAAGTTATGTCACACTAGTCAAACGTTTAAATTCTGGTGCTCTCCAAGTGCAATGTTACATTTCATATGCATTTTTGCTTGACAATTATTAAGATATCTTTTTGTATGTTACAGACGCAGAGGGTTCTACCCAATACAGAGGGGGGAAAAGGGCTTTTTGGTGAGTTTTTTTTGGTTATAAAACAACCAAATGGAAAATTGGTTGGGAGAAATAAAAAAGAATTGGATACCACTGAGCAGAGCCATTTACAGAATAATTGCGGAAACAGTTAGTCTACTAGGGAATGCAAAATATTGAATGAAAAATTGTAAGTCTATTAACACTATGAACACTTATTTTAATTGTTTTGGGAAAGTTTCACACAACCTCTTCGGCCGCCATTAGGTGAACAGTTAGCGTATGTGCTGTGACACTAACAAAATTAAAAAGCATTTGTAAAATTTAATTTAATGACAGAAATCAACCATAAGAAAAAAACACAATCTTCACAATAAGCATTTTACATTATTTGCCAAGTTAATTTGAACGGAGTATTACTTACATATTGTCATGATGTGCCATTGTAGAAAATTGTTGTTCACAATTTCATTTAAATTTGACTTTTTTCTTTTCTTTTACACCAGTATTTTTAAATAATCATTTGGAAATAATGATGAGCCAGGCGCATGTCAGAAGGAGAGGGCAAGTCTTCAAGTGTACCCAAATATTTTTACCATTTGAAATTTGAATGAATCCATGTTGATGTTTGCTGTGACTGAATTTTTTTTAACACAGATTCAAGCAATTCATGATCAACTGTTCAATGTCAAATATGTCAGGGAAAAATCCAAATTTTTTGGGAGCTTTTGTTTTTAAATGTCTGTATACTTTTTGAGAGTTCATTTCAAAATCATCCTTCAACATGTGCCTGGCTCATAAGCAAATGCTTAAGTTTTTTACCCGCATAATTTGGTTTCGAGTAAATCCATGGCAATTTAGAGATGTTTCATGAGAACGTTAATGTGACAAAAATATCTTTCGATAAAAAAACTGACAAAAAATCCCCAAACGTTTCAAAAGCTACCTTTCAGAGTTTGGTTAAATTTGGTTCAAAGTCATTAAAATAATTTGTCATAGCCATGATAGATCATCAAAAATACAAGGAAAGCCAATTTCCTTATAAAATTCTCTTTAGAACAAAGACAATTTTGGATATTTCTCTGTTTATGCTTGCCATGGATTTACTCTTCCCTAAGTGTCGACTCCAGACACGGCCTCTTGAGATGACTTGCAATTGGCGAGGGCGGCATCACGTCCAGAATGATCACCACGGCATCTTTGGCTGGTTGGCTCCAAGTCTGCAGTTTCTTCACTTCATCTCCATCATGGATAAAAATACAATGAAACAGAGTTTGTGTTTATAACACGTATTTGGGAAAATCACTTTCTTTTTTCATATGTCATTTGTTACTTGACTAAAAATGTATGGTGGCCACTATAAATAATGAGGTTAAAATAGCCATTATTTTTTTTTTCAAACACTTGAAACAAATGCTGTCAAAGGCAAATGACTCCTTGTTCAATCAAACTAATGCCAGTTGCATGCATATGGGCATTTAATAAACCAGAACAGTACACAGTTCATTGAGATAAATAAAATATTGAGTCTGGCTGAATGTTTTGATCAAATAATTCAGTGTTGAAACCAAAACCAGTTTATATATCATGTCTTTCAAAAAATAGAATGTCTTAATTAGCTTGGTCTCTTTTTGTGATTTCTGTCTCTACAAAAAAAACCGCCATGACTTGATCAGAAATATTAATAATGTTGTACTAGCAATGATTGTTTAGCTATTTAAATAATCATTGTATCAATTATTAGTACTGTTAGATGTACTGTTTTTCAATGCAATTAAACAAACGTCATGGAGAAATTTAGGGGGTACAAGAGCACACGTCAATTCTAAAGCCAACAAAAAACTTAAAAGTGTAATGGATGAACCGTTTTAAAAAGGAAGTGGGACAAACTCTAAAAAAAAAGATGACTTGTTTTAATAGTTAGGCCTATAGATTAAAATATCTGATATCGATATCAGTCATAACACTAATGACAGAAAGCTCAAAGGCATTGTTAAGACACAGTGACTAGAGGTATAGAATTTTGAGCCATAAAAAAAAGAAAACAAATAAGTGGGGGTTTCTTTTTTGGGGGGGGGGGGATTGGCGGGGGTCATCAAGTTCAATTTTTTTCCCAGGTTCACGGACCATAGTACAACCAAATAGCAAATTGATACATGCATGACAGAAAGACTTGATACAGAGGAAATAATGTGAATTCCTGTGCTTTTCAAGTCAGCAGATATGTAAGAGAATGCCTTGACATTTTAAGAGAATTTAGTTAAGATTACTAGGCTAAGATAAGGGGGGGAAAGGGGATTTGGCAATGTCAGGCAATTTTGAAATTCGAAAGGCTATGGAAAAGCTCTCTCCAAAAACACAGACATTGCCTGATAGGAAAAGTCGGTAGAACTTTTCATTGTCAGAAGGAGAACAAATGTAGGGAAAGAGTGGCCATCTTTCTTGGAAGAAATGGCCAGATATAAGAAGCAAATACTTACCTGCCAGAAATAAGAAATCATGTGAAAAAACTGCTGTTCAAATTCAGCAGCTATAAAACAGAACAAGTGGTTAAACAAGGAAGTGGCTAAAGAAGGTTACAGATGATCAGTCAAGACGACTGGAATAAGAAAGAACAATCTCAAATTCTATTCGGCAGATCTGTAATGAGAAAGACTATGACAAAGCCATCTCAAAACACAGATACTGCCAGAGAAACCATGAATTGAATTGTTCTATTGATAGAAAGGGATCAAAGATAATATCTCAAGGAAGTAAAAGAAATGAATGAATGAATGAAAAGTAAACCACCTGTTATGGAGAAAAAAGAAAGTAAAGATCAAAAATTTCGGTGTAATAGGTATATCAGATAAGTTTGTTGTGAGAAATGAAGGCTGTTGACATTTAAACCCCTCCAAGCACAGCTATTTCACCGGAGGAAGGGGAATGTTTATGATTGGTAGAAATTTAGGGGATGCAGATGGTGGTTTTTTAATTATTATTTTTGCAAAAATTGAACATAATTATGTACATTTAGGCCAATAACTGGGAATAAAGTGGCTTTAAAGTTGAAAACATTTATTTCTGTCGTGTTACATCAGGGAAAGGTTTTTGTAAAGCATCAAGACTTGAGGTAGAAATTGTTAGAGGTATGAAGCAAATACTTACCTTTATGAAATTTCTGGAATAAAAACTGTGTTCAATTCAGAAGACTAGAGTGGCAAGAGAATGCCATTGGGGTTGCAGGGAATCAGCTAAGACTGAAGTGAGACTAATCCTTAGGCAATTTCATAATGAGAATGGCCAGAGATTATGAAATGGTCATTGTGTAAAAGTGCTTGGCTTACAGGAAATCATAGTGTATTTTGACGGTGTTCAATTCAGTAGCTTTAAGTGGGTAGAGAATTTCCTTTAAAGATTGGTTTGGTCAATCAACATGATTGAAGTAGGGCAGAAAAGGAGATGTTTCAGGCAATTCTGTAATGAGAAAGACTATGGGAAAAGCCATCTTCAAAATACAGATATTGCCGAAAGGTAAGTTTAGTTACTTCCCAAAGTAAAAAGAAATTTAATTTGGATCACAGTGAACTTTTACAGGAAGTGAATACATGGAGGCCATTTTCTGGGAAGAAAGTGGCATTGAAGTTAAGAAACCCCTCTGGGAACGGCAATTTAATATATTCTTTGTATGGTGCAGAAATGACAGAGAAATGTGGAAAATACTTACCTGTGTACATGAATGAATTCATGTGAATATAAGTCATATTTAAATTAATATAGCAGATAAAGACTAGAGTGGCTACAGAGATTTGCCTTGAGTTATAAGGAGAACTGAAAGAAGACTGAAATGAGACTAGTCATGATATGTGAGGCAAGTCTGTAATGGAAAGGCTATATAGCTATCTCCAATCTAAGATATTGCCACAAAGTAAAATGGAAGTTACTTGTCAAAGGGTACTGTAGATAGAAGGTTTTCATTGGCAGAAAGGGATTGAAGTACTGTTGGATGCAGCACAGCGTATAAAGAATGTTTGAAGATATTAAGAAGTTCAATTAAGAGGACTGAGTTAAGTAGGACTAACAGATTTGTCTGGCAATTCTGTAACGAAAAAGACTAGGGAAAAAGCCATCTTCAGACACAGATATTGCCAACAAATAAATTGAAGTCACTTGCCAAAGTAAACAGAAGTTGACTTTGGGATCACAGTGAAGTTTTGCAGGGCCAGATTACATGAAACCCATTTCCTGGGAAGGAATTGGTTTTAAAGTTAAGGAACCCTTGTGCTTTTGAACGGCGATTTAATAGTTTCTAGCTGTGCTGTAGGAACTGACAGAGAAGTGAAAGAAATACTTACCTGCGTACATAAATGAATTCATGTGAATATAAGGCATATTTAATCAAGCAGATAGAATGTGTTGCTTTAAGATATAAATTAAGAAGTTCAATCAAGATGACTGAGTGAAGTAGAACTAACAAATTTGTCTGGCAATTCTGTGACGAGAAAGACTACTGAAAAGCCATCTCTGCCTAACCACAGATATTGCCTAAGAAAGGATGGAACTTGAATTTGTCTATTGGCAGGAAATTTTCAGAGTGAGGTTTTGCAGAAATTTGATTTACATGCATGTTTGTGGGTCAATTTCTGGGAAGAAAGGACTTATGGTAAGAAAACAATCCATGATTAGACCCATTTCAACGATGGACTTTCAGAAAAGGGGGAACTTATGCAGAAATGGCTGGCAACAAATTCCATATATTGAATCAACATGTCAAATACAGAACGTCACATACAGTAAGTCATAGTGAACAATCATAGTTGGGAGTGTCCTGAAAATGACATTTGTGCCAGATATTTATCACAATCTGATGAATTTCTGCGTTCTTACAAAGATTGCTGCAACTTACTGCAGAGTTATTACCAACTTAACATGTTTCCTTCTTTTTTAAAAATTTATCTGACAAATAAGGGTAATGGCATCATAATTACTAAATTTGTCCCAATTAGCCTGGATTTTTTTCTTGGTTTGATGGAGTGGGCCACGTTATAGGGAAAGCTCACCTTTGTCACCTTTGGTAATGATGCACCAACACAACTCCGATCTGTGAAAAGAATGCAAAAGTTTCAATTTTTTAAAAAGGACTCACCTGCAATTTGGTTGGTCCTTTTAGTGAAAATATTTTTAACTAAGCTATTGCTGAAATTGTTTCCAATGCTGACCTTTTTTGTTTCACTTTCAGGCGATATTGGTATCTGGGTAATCCTTACTTTTAGGACCCCTTTCCTATATAAGGTTAAAAGACTCACCAAAACAGCTGACTAAATGACACTCAAAAAGTCAAAAGTGACATTCTGATATTTATTGACACATTTGGCAATGACACCTCTTGAATATCAGCAGGTTTGATTTTGTAGAAAGAGGGCAGGGTTTTGATTTATGAGGGGTTAAAGACGACGATGACAAACAGAAAATAAATTTAAAAAGCAAGATGGCGAACTGCAAAAAAGGGTAGGAAAGTCACATTTTCTTTGAAAGTGCTTTCAAAATTATAACTAACATGAGTTTGTCTGAAGACAAAAGACTTCTTTAGCCTGCAAAAATCACTTTGGTACTGGACAGTCATCTGCAAAAGTCGGTTTTGAACAGAACTCGTACAAAATAGAGGTGTCCTAAAAGTAAGGATTACCGGTATCTGGCCCATGCAACATATACAAAAGGATAAAACAAGAAAAGGACTAATGCTTCTTTTCCTCAGGAGAAAAAAAATTGACAAATGATATTGGAGAGTCCACATCAGGTATTTGAGTAAATATATTTTCACCTGTTAAATAAATAATCCTTTCCATACCCACTCAGGTATTCAGCCTCTGGTCCATAGTAATAATATGTAATTAGTAATTAAAGTTTTTAATGGGAAAAAAGGGGGGAAAAACAACTAAGGTCACGATAAGTTATGTAATGCACAATGCTGCCCTTCCCCCCCCCCCCCAACCTCACCCAACCCCAAATCACCCCCCCCCCCCCACGAGTCCTCCCCCTGCAAGGCCCCCCTCCCTCCCCCACCCCAATCCCTCCCCCACCCCCCTCCCCCCACCCCCACCCCCCACCACCCCCCCCCCCCCCCCCCCCCCCTCACCCATTCCTTTTTTACTGGTAGTGGCACTTCATTTTGCTGGACCAGCTAAAATGGCTGTGCTTTTTGGTGTGCATTTATGGCAGTATACCCCCCCCCCCCCCCCCATGGCGCAACGTGTGCTTTGCAAAGTGCGGAACAGAGTACCTACCTAGTTCATTCCTCCATGTTCATACATCCACCATGCATGGAGGTAGAATTAGACCTCATGGACCTGCTGACTTCATTTTTAGGCCAAAAGGAAGACGGGTTTTCTCTTCTTAGGCAACAAAAATGGGACTGCTTTAGGCAGTTTCATGATCCTCAGGAACTTGGTCAAAAGTAGCATGGACTTAGAGACACATTTATGGGTTCTTGTGTGCAAGAAAAACGTGATAAATCCGGAACATTTTTTGAAGTAGTCATACACACGACCGCATGTATTCAACATGGCCGCCCTGAACTACGCGTGCACCCTGCGCATGCGGCGCGGCGGGAATTTGTCCACAGCACGTGGGCAAACTCGTTGCTGATTGGATGAAACAAAAGCCACTTTCAGCTCGAATTTATAAGTAAGTTTTCCCCTTTTGGCCAAAAAAAATGCAAGCTGGAAAAGGTGTTAAATAAAAACAAGGTGTTTATAGCGTCTTGTTAGACTTACAGCAAAAGCTTTGCCTGAAAAAAAATCGTGGCTTTAAACGTTCCCGTTTATCTCGAGTTTATCCACCCGTTACAAAGCTAGCAGAGAAATTAATTTCGGCGTGATTTTCCGATTTTACGTTTCGAAGTCGCGCAGTAAATCCTTTGAAAATGCGCCCAGAAATATGAAAATAATTTTCAGACAAACTTTTAGTTGGGTGTGTGAGTAGAGATAATAATGGTTAAAGCTATAGTCCATCATTTGCAGCCATCCGAAAAGTAACTGGCGTAATTATTGTTGAAAAACAAACTTAGTTGAAAGATAGTAAGGGAACTAAACTCCCTGTGAAATTATTCTTTCTGGGAAGCTGTCATTTTGAAGTAATCAACGAAAGAAGGCATTTCCAACGGTGATTCTTAAGAAGCACCGTAGGAAAATTTAAATTAGTAGTTCGTTTTGTTATTCAGCGCAGCGCGCGCAAGTATTGGAACGACGCACACGCGTGCGCGGTTGTTATAATTCGTCGGATCAGTGCGCGACGTCGCGTATAGCTGCAATTCAAAACATGATTCAGTAACTTTTGATTTGAAATTGAGATCTTAGAATGCTGCTTTTCTCGGAATGCACAGTTGAAGCTTAGCTGAAACTTCATCAGGTTAGTTGCTCAGTATCCTTCATTAGATTTTGAACACTTTTGTTGCTTCAAACGAACAAAATGCACAAATTACAAATGATGGACTATAGCTATAATTTAGAAATTCTGAAATGTAAACTTGGAATTTTGTGATTAAGTGCGCCCCGTTAGGTAACAAGTCAGCCGAATTTGTGCCAAATTCCCGGACGCCATCGTTTTTTAATTTCAGACGGATGGGTCACTGTCACTGAAATTGTTCACAAAGGTTCAACAGAAAACAATATTAAGGTAAAAGTGCCAGTATTTCACTGAGTGAATTTGAAGTTTGTTAGCAAAGAAGTTTGGTAACACTGCGACTGCATGAGGAAAGTCGGGGAAAACATCGAAGTGCGCCCAGGTTTTTACGCCGCACACTAAAAAGTTTCGGCGGCCCGCTAAAGTGCAACACCGCCCTCTTTCGACAATAAAAATCCTTCACATTTACGATCAGCGTTCCTCCTCGTCCGGGGCCGTACGTTGAGGAAGGAAAACAATCTTTGTACTTCGACTTGAGGTAGGCCTACTTTCCAAATTTGTATTAATTATTGGTTCAGCGTATAACTAGTTTGTCTAATATTTAGGTAGGCATCAGATTGATCATGCTTTTTCGGAATTAATTTTATAACTTGCGAGTATGTAATTTTGTAAACCCAACACAACAGGAACATCTGAACATCTAGCCTATAGTATTGCACGTGTGCGCATACCAGACGGCATTTAAACATAAAAATTTATAATGCAACATCAACAATCGAACAAAGCCTTACCATAAATACACCTTCACATTGTCTGGAATGGGTGCTTCAGTAATATATAATTTATTGGGGGGGGGGGTAGCTTTAACTTTAAAGGAGTCACATAATTCAAAACATGATCCAAAGTTAACATGCATGATTATAATTTAATTATAAAGTTCTTGAATGTTTTAGTTCCATCCGCATGATCCGGACCGTAGCTGAACCCCCAGTTAGTGGGTCTAGACTGTAGCTAGCCCCACTAGTGTGGCCGTCGGTATGCTGCGCTGAACCCAAGGCCACACACCGTGGTCTGCACACTACTGAGGACGTTTTCATAATTTCAACAGCGAATTTCTTACATATGGTTGTATTCTACGATGTCCCAACTTTCACTTCTGGGATGCTTGGGTGTAATGATGTTCAATTTTCCAAGATATTCTTGAATCTTTCTGGAGCCCATATGCACTCGTGAAACGTCTGGTGATGGCAGCCATTTTGAATGTGACAAGAGATGACCTCAAGCTGTGACGTCGCGTTTATGCAAATTGCTTGTCGAGCGAGGGCGCGAGTTGCAAATGCGACGGCTGTTTCCTGTGCCGTAGATCCTGAATAGAGATCAGTGCACGTGGCCCCCAGACGATAAATGCATGGTACAGGAAACAGCCGTCGCATTTGCAACTCGCGCCCTCGCTCGACAAGCAATTTGCATAAACGCGACGTCACAGCTTGAGGTCATCTCTTGTCACATTCAAAATGGCTGCCATCACCAGACGTTTCACGAGTGCATATGGGCTCCAGAAAGATTCAAGAATATCTTGGAAAATTGAACATCATTACACCCAAGCATCCCAGAAGTGAAAGTTGGGACATCGTAGAATACAACCATATGTAAGAAATTCGCTGTTGAAATTATGAAAACGTCCTCAGTAGTGTGCAGACCACGGTGTGTGGCCTTGGGTTCAGCGCAGCATACCGACGGCCACACTAGTGGGGCTAGACTGTAGCTTACTGCCTAGTTTATAAAATTATAATAATTTACCACAACATTGGTAAAATATACCCATTTTTTTCACTTGGAACCATGCAGTTGCAAGTCCACACTGATCAATGCATTTCAATAGTTCTTTAAAACTGTGTTTGGAATTTGATTTTACTGTATATAAAATCGCTCAAAAATCAACACCCTGTCCTCTTTGCACAAAATCAATTTTATGATGATGTATTCATATGAGATGAGCAATAACCAGTTATTGGATTATTGACTCAGTCGTGAAGCTGGAATCTGTCAGCCAGAGTAGAAGATATTTTATTCCTGTTCTGGACCAAAAATCTATCCAAAAATCCAAAAATCTAAATTAAAGCCGTCACAGTGTCAGGAGCCACTGTGGCCCATCAGGCCGGCATTTATCTCCGGTTTCAGTTACACGAAATGACTGAGCAGATTTCTATTCCCCCTGGATGGGATGCTAGTCCATCGCAGGTTTACTCCTGGGTGGAGATTGGCTGTATGGCTGTGGTCTTACTTTTGGAGAATTAAATACAAAAGACCTTGGTAGCAGCGTAACAAATTGCTATGTTTTTGTCCTGATGTTAAAATTAATTTACTTTCTTATCTTTTTCCCAAAACAGAAATCGCTTCAGTTGTACCAAGACAAGCACCTGTTAAACTGGACATCCATGGGGTGATAAGAACGAGGGACAAAACCACATCCAAGAGTTTCATACAGGAAGTTACCTTCTTTTTGTGTTTTGGAGCCCTTGTGTCAAAATAGTCCGCAATGTCAGCATCAGAAGATAGCGACAAGCCCTTCGTTTGCGGCATATGTGGCAAAGCGTTCCCTCTGATGGCCACCCTCCAGCGTCACCACAGATACCACACAGGCCAGGCCCCGTTCCTGTGCACGGTCTGCGACAAGACGTTCATCCAGGCAAACAGCCTCAGGACTCACTTGAGGATCCACACGGGACAGAAACCCTTCCTGTGCAAGACCTGCGGCAACTCCTTCACGCAGGAGAGCAGCCTACGACGTCACCGAGTGCGCCACGGTGACAAAAAGAAGGCTCTATCGTGCCATATTTGTGGCAAGAGTTTCCCCAATCGAGCAAAACTCAAATGGCACCGGAGTGTCCATACCGGCGAAAAGAAGTTGTTCTCCTGTGACATCTGTGGCAACAGTTTCACTCAGGAAAGCAGCCTGAAGCGGCACAGAGTTGCCCACATGGAAGACACAAAACAAACCGAAGTAAAGAAAGACAAAAAGAAACTGCCATTTTACAGCACTTGCGGCGAGGTTTTCCCCGCTCAAGCCAATCTCCAGCATCAGCATTGTACCAGTGTGAGCGGGAAACAATTCGTTTGTGATGTTTGTGGCAAATCATTCACCCGAGCCAGCAATCTGCGGAAACACGACAGGAAACACACTGGTGAGAAACCGTACGTCTGCGACTTGTGTGGCAGGGCCTTCCCTGTAAAATCTAAACTGAAACGTCACCAACTGGATGCACACAGTGAAGAGGAACAAATTGCTAGCAGCTCTCATGGAAAAAACTCCCAGGAAACTAGTGCAGAGCATCATGAGAAAGTGTGCGCCAGAGACAAACCTGTCCCAAATGTCGTTCACGTTCATGAGAAAAACGACATTCAACAAAACAGCAATGCCAGGACCCAGCTGCAAGTACAAGTCACTTCTTCGAAAGCTAAACAATTGGCGCGTGGTTCTTGTGACGACCTCTCCATAGAAGTACTTCACTTGAGTCCCCTCAAAGTAAAACATCATGTCCGAGATTTTTGCTGCGAAGTTTTCTCTCACAAGTGGAACCTGGAGCGTTATCAGAGGATCCACTTTCCGGAGAGACCGTATGTGTGCGATCGTTGCGGCAAAGCTTTCCCATACTTGTGGACTCTGGAGTGTCATGCACGGTCCCACACTGAACCGAAACAACTCTTCTCTGAAACCTGTAGCCAGGCCTTTACGCAGGAAACACGACTCGACATCCAAGAGGGCGCCCACACCATACAGGAACCATCCGTTTGTGACCAGATCTGAACTGAACTCAGGAAACACAACTCCAAGCACTTGGGATAGAAACTTTACAGGGTACATGTACATTGTACGCATTGGGCAATATCCGAAGAAAAGCTTGTGTTACACTAACTAGAAGTATTTACTAATGTTTGGTCATTTTTACTGGTTATATACGTATGTATATACATTTGTACGTATGTTGATCATTGCCAATTTTTCAAGGATCCTTAGAGGAAAGCGCATTTGTCACATTTCAAACCTAATATGTGTTGTTTTCTTTGTTTGACCCCAAAATTTAAAACTACATGGCCTGTCTTTCCTTTGTGTAAAGTCAACCATTACCATGTACACAATTCGACCTTTATTTGACCTGAATTCTTACATTTTAATATTTTCCCTTTCAAGTACACAATCTTGCCATCTTCGCTTTGGCTTGCATAGGCATTTGTCCAACCGAACACTTTAATTATGTTGTTCTTTTATTTAAGATTTTGTTGATCTTCTTCATATCCTGATAGACCAATCCGGGCCCGCTGTCAATTCTATCGCGAAGGCCCCCTTCAGTGGCGAAAGCATTGCGCTAGCTATTGTTCAGACAATCCATCACAATAGCTTGCACAATGCTTTCGCCATTGCCGGGGGCCTCATGAGTATACAGTCATCATGTGTCCAAATTTGCCCAGATAGTGCAGAGTCCGGGAAGCAATTTAGAACCAACATCCACTACCCTTGGCTAAGATATATTTTTTGTACGATATGTACTGAAGACGACTGGGTATAATTATATGAATACTTTGTCAATGTGAATTTGCCCAATTTGCCCAAACATATGTCAGCATTATGAAATACAGAACATTTCTACTCTATTTTATTGTCACTCAAGCAAGCTGGGATTAGATTAGATTTCAACAGCTTTTGAAGTTCATTTCCTGTGCTGCACTAATATTAGATTGATGTTTAAGATAATCAAGATTAGAATAATCAAGTCGACAATAGTCAAGATTTTAATGTTTAAATTCTTTAATTCAATTTATAGATTAATGCATAGTTTATGAACATGTACGATATACATGTATTGTGTAGTTCTCAGCGCATCACCTGTGAAATTTTCAAATTTCAGTTCTTCTGTCAGATAATGTGTGAAGTATAATGGATTGTAGCTTACATGCAGTGTTGTTATTTTGTATCATGCGTAATGCAGTAATTAATTACAATAAATGTTTTACTTTCTTGATAATGCATCATAGTGGGGCAAATAGGGGGAATATTTGGGGGAATTACAAGTGCCTTTGACGATACAAGCATGGCATTTGGCACACAGTCAGGGTATGTCTTAAGAAAGATATTTGGCTTGCGAGCCATTGCAGATTCGTCCTTTGAAAAATATAGGTAGAATAACAAGCAATTTTCAAAATGGCTGCCATTGCTTGTTCTACCTATATTTTTTAAAGGACAAATCTGCGATGGCCCTATAGCCAAATATCTTTCTCATGACATACTCTGACTGCTTTGCCAAATGCCATGCTTTTATCATCCAGGCACAATCTTATCACCTATTCGCCGTACTATAAAAACCCACCAAGATCGTGATATCAGAAAATATTTGCAATATTCCCTTGAGTTTGGCTCGGTGCAAAATATTTTATAACGTCTTTTGTATTTTGATACAAAAACAAAAGTAGTAATTGTATCCCATTTATGTCCACTTTTATGTCTTGTAATCTTTTATATTGGGAAAAGCACAAAAACTGACGAATCAAATAAATCAAATTTTATAATTATCAGGAGATAATAATATCATTTTATCATTATTGAGAAAAAAATTGAGAAAGATTATTTCGTTTTTAAATATATGAAAAATAGGAATTCACAAGGACATACATTGTATATATGAATGGGAATATCTGTACAATAAAGTGTGCATACAGTGTATCTAATAATGAGTACAAAAAATGTGCTCATCTTTGTATAATTATGCAGTTGTATTTAAAAACAACAATGATGTGCACAGCACAAGTAACACATTTCTTTCTTATATGTGTCACATTAGAATTATGTTTAAAACTATTTGTTATAGTGTATTTATATTGTGCTGTGAAAAGTAAGTGTTGAAGAGAACAAAAAAAAATCCTTTTAATTGCAATTTTCAGCTAAAAGATGCATGGCATTTTAGGAGAAAAGGGAAGTTTTAGTATTTATGCTACTCAGGAATATGTATTGTCACAATTCATACCCATAATTTGTATCTGTAGTTGAAAAATTGTCAAAGGTATTAATCCACATTTTCTTGCAAACTTCTCTGCTTTTGCATTAATGAAGGAAAAAAGAAGAAATTCATCTTAATTTGTGATTAAATATTTTGTTGTCATTTTTACAAAAGGGATAGTACATTTAAGTCCTAATTTTAATGATTTTTTTTCTTTCTTTTTTTTTCAACATGTTTAAATTCTGTCTTACGATTTTGTCTGAAATGAAGAAAAAAATGCTGTAAAAGGAAAAAAATAAAAACATACCTTCGACATGTAACATACGGTCGGTTATTTTATTTATTTATTTATTCTGGAGTGATTAAATATTAATCACAAGGTTCTGCTTGGATAGATTCTTTTGTTCTTTATTTTTTAATAAATTAAATAGCCATAACATGATCGTTTACCATAGGGAGAAAACAACACGAAAGTGCACCTGACCTTTAATTTTTTTTCAATGAAATTTAATCCCGAAGCTGAAACGAAGCCGAAGATTAAAAACTCACATTTACGTGTACCTTGCGCTTTGTTAACTATTGAGGGCGCTCTTAAATTGCTAATAAAAGTAAACAACGATTCGACCACCACATCAATGGAAAGGCTGGGCGAAATTCTGGATTTTTGAAGGCGAGAATGAAAGAGTTTCTTTACAGTGAATATTGACTTCATTAACCCATAAAATCCGTCTATTTTATGTGATAAATATGTTTGCGGAGAAAGATATTTCTGCGCGATCACGGCAAATAAAACTGAACCTGCGGCCTGCACCGCTATCATGGCTATGGGATTTTGTGCACAATTTGATTGAAGCAGTGTGATTATCCTATCTGTACTTTTATCTGTAAAACGATACTTTGAAGCAAGTTAAGCATTAACTTATTAAGCACACAATACAAATGTTATCCTTTCTGATTTAAGAAGAATCAATCTGCATATGATAATTTAATCAGAAAGAGAGAGACTTGACCTGGTGTGGTGTTTTGGATGGTACCGTACTTACCCCCCGAACTATGGGTATTACACTAATACCCATAGTTCTAGGGGGTAACCATACGTATTCCCTCCTCCAGTTTTTACCACAATTGTTGACAAACTCATTTGGCAAGCATGATTTATTTTAAATGATGAAGTCCAATTCATTGGTTTTTCCAGAAGAGGGTCTATGAAGGATGAAGCTTGCTCATATCATTTTTTTTTTTCTTTCAGACAAAAAAAGGTACCTTTTCAGAAGAAACTAAGGCCTTCTTCCACTCATCACGTTGGGAAAAAAACAATTTAAGGAACTTAGCCTAGAGGGGCACCCACACCACCAACCAAACAACTGGAATGAGGGCCAAATTCTACCAGGTCATTTACAGAATTTTGCGATGAAAAGGACCATTTGTCTGCGACATTTTGTGGAAAGGTCTTGTCGGACTGTGTATCAAACCTAGGGCCACTACCGCACAGTTTTGATAAGAAGTGCATCTATATACATAACTGCTGAATCACCATGTCTGCCACCAATTCATCATCAGGGGACAGTAAGGTAACACCACTGACTTGTGACACTTGTGGGAAAGTCTACTCCTATAGATACAGTTACGAGCGGCACCTACAAGCCCACAAAGACGAGAAAGTGTTTGCCTGTGACTTGTGTGATAAAGCTTTCACGCGAGAGATCACCCTGGAATGCCACCGCAAGGCTCACTTGGCCGAGGACAGAGTGAAATGGTTCATGTGCCCAGTCTGCGGCAAGGCCTTCCTGCGCCTGGACACCATGGAGATCCATCTCCGCAGCCACACCGGCGAGAGACCCTTCCAGTGCGACTTCTGCGACAAAGCCTTCAGCCACAGCAGCCATTTAACCATCCACAGGAGGCGCCACACGGGAGAGAGGCCGTTTGTTTGCGACGCGTGCGGCAAGGCCTACATGTGTGGGAGCCAACTCAGCAGCCATCGCGTGCAGAAGCACGGTGACGACGCTCAAGCAAAGAAACCGTTTGTGTGCGACACCTGCGGCAAGGGCTTCACGATGAAGCACAGCCTGGCCAGTCACCAGAGAGGTCACACCGGAGAGAAACCATTTGTGTGTGACGTTTGTGGAAAGCCCTTCACCAGCAGCAGTGGGCTGAGAAGTCACCAGATGACCCACTCAAAGGACAGGCCATTCCTCTGTGAAGTTTGCGGCAAGGCCTTCTCTCAGGGATCTAGTCTTAAAAAGCATCAAGACGTGCACGTCTAAGAAAAGAGATTGTCAGAGTTTTTTAGATTTGCTGCTTAATATTCTCATACTGGTCATTTAAAACTTTTGGGGTCCACTGTTTTCCTATCCCTGTTAAATCTGACATCTATGATTCTGATGCACTCCTTAATGCAGTCACCCTCCAAGAGTGACAATGAATAGCAAACTATCCAACAAGTAAAAAAATAATTGGAAGTCATTTTTCTACTTGAATGGTAAATTACAAAGTACCAAGGCAATGTAGGGACAGAACAAATGTCACACTTTGGACCTTAAGTGTATAGAATGACCAATATGTATATTGATGAGGTTGAATAAGATTGCATTCAGTGCTCCGTGCCTAAGTAGAAACGGAAAAAAAAACTTTTTTTATTGGCACACTCTTGTTTACTTGAAAAAAGGAACTCTTCATCATAGTGACATTGATGATGATTAAGAGACAGTGTTATGTGCTATCTGAATTGAGAACTGAAATTTACAAGGTGGCATTCAAAAGGAAGGGAAAAAGACTCATTCAAGTCAGCAGTCAGGGCATTGTCGGATCGTATAGTGTGCGATTGCCTTTAGTCCAAGTTAAAATAATTGAATACCCAGTTATTTGAAACTAGTGCATACATAAAGTAGGCATAAGTCTTCATGTGCAATTATATCAGATGAAAAGTACCACAATTTACCCTAGAATTGGACTCAGTTTTTCCAAATATCAAGAATTATTTTAATCTAGATTTTTAAAACTTTTGGTTTGAAAATAATTAGGATTTAAGTCTATTTGGTTCTTTCACTGTATGCTACAAATGCACATGAGCAAGTGTGGCAAGTGATGATGATACAGTGATATGATGCACACTTTTTCTCCGAATAGTTTTTCCTGAAACGCCTTTCTTTTCTTAAATCATCAAGTTTTTCTTACTATCTTGAGTTTAAAGGCATGGTATTGTGCTCAAACATCAGCACAGCGTACTAGTCTGTCCGAAGCCTTTTTAAGGTTGGGAGTGGTAAAGTTTGCTCTTTTTAAAATTACATGGATTCTTAAAAATCAAGTTGAAAGGTATAATATTTATTATTACAAGATATAATAGATTGGTTGCTAGAGACGATTTCAACTTGGCGCTGAAAGCAAGGGCCTCGGTGCTGTCTTTTGTTGAGAGGAATAAAAAAAAAAGCCCTCAATTCATACAATGGCTTCACACTGAGAGCCTTGGCTTCAATGCTAATTTGAATATCATCTATTCAAGTATTTAATTTTCGGACAATCAGTTTGTTACACATTGGGAATATTTACAGTATTTGCTCCAAATAAATTTCAATTGCAAAATTTGGAAGTACAATTCCTGTCGTGATTATTGTTTATTCCTGTCCTTTAGCACCTTGAGATGTTGATGGATAGTGTCTTCACATTTGTTTTTCATTTCGAATTGGGATTATTTATTTCTTGATAAATCACAAGACTGGCTTATACAAGTTAACAATCCCATTCCCCCCCCCCCCCCCAACAAAAAAACATTTGGAAGTACATTATTATTTATTGTTTTTTCCTGTCCTTTAGCACCTTGAAAAGCTGATGGATAGTGTCTTCACCATTTTTTTTCAATCGGGATTTATTTCTTGATAAACCACAAGATTGGCGTGTAATACAATTTAACCCCCCCCCCCCCCAATGACTCACCCCTCCTGCCCCGCCCCTTATTTCGGGTTCTCGGCTCTTGCATATATAGCGCCCTCTACCGATCGGACTACTCAAGTAATACATCTATTTTCAGTGTTCTGTCTTAAAATCTTCCGAAAACCACGGTTAAATACAGCTTTAAAATATCAATTTTGCCCAATTTACAATCTGCTGTAGGTGGGTATTCATTCGTCACACTGTCATCTTATTTATACCTGGGGCATCTGTACAAGTTGGAAAATGTTACTCGATTTACTGCAAATATTTTGTCGTTCGAGTTGTGATTATCGTGTGTCATGTGTGTGGCGCATGGCCGCGCCGCGCCGCGCCGGCGAGCGACTGTCATGGTCATTGACTGTATGTAGCCATGTGTTTTTATTCCTCCATGCTGTAACCGGCAATTTGCATTAACAATGTAGCATGTTAAAGAATGTTATTTCGAGAGAATTTTAATAACTCCTGAAGACCTGGGAAATAATGTTGGGAAAGATTTCCATATCTGGCCATCACTAATTTTTCCCCTTCACAAGGGCAGGCTTGCCTTCAGTGACTTAGGCCTACAGCCATCAGAAAGTGATCATTATTACGAGTAATACCCATAGTTCTAGGGGTAAGTAATCAGTATAATCTATAGTATTGTCACCACCAGTACTAGCTCTACTGAGTGGAACATTGAACTATGGTACCCATGGAGGGTTCCGTAGTTCAACGCTCCACTCAGTAGAGCTACACCAGTACCATACCGTAGACAAGTATTGAAACTTTGACCCATTGAACAATTGCAGATCTGTACAACTACATCTGCCTGCAGTCCATCATGGCGTCAACCTCAAAAGATGCTAGCCCGTCGTGCATTTATTTCTGCAACATGATCTGTGGGAAGGCCTTCCTGAACAATCCAGAATTTGAGGAGCACCAGAAGAAGAGCCACAAATCAAGAAGATCTGCCATGTCCGAACTGAAGAAGTGCTTCCCACCGGGGACTACTTTCCGGAACACCATTCCAACCGCAGTATCAGCAACGTCTCCCGCAGCATCAGCAACACCTCCCGTTAATATAAGTGGCAGGCGTGTATACCCTTGCTCCGTATGCGACAAAGTCTTTAAAACAGAAAAACATCAGGTCCGCCACATTCGAATCCACACTGGGGAGAAACCTTTTGCGTGTCCCACTTGCGGCATGTCCTTCTCGCAAGAGTGCAGTATGAAAAGGCACGAGAAGATCCATTTGGGAGATGCCAGGGAGAAAAATTACACCTGCGATATTTGTCACAAGGCCTATGAGCACAGGTTCCATTTGTCACAGCACATGAGGTCAGCCCACGCAGGAGAGAGACCGAACAAATGCGACATTTGTGATAAGGCATTCTGTACTATTACCCAGTTGAATGTCCACAAGAGGAGTCACACGGGAAGCCGGCCGTACGTCTGCAGCATCTGTAACAAAGGGTTTGCACAGGCAAGTCGCCTCAAAACCCATCAGGTTGTTCACAGTCGCAACAGCCTGGTGTGCAAAACCTGCGGCATGTCCTTCAGCCAGCAGTCCCATTTTGCCCATCACCGCAAGGTGCACTTAATGAAGAAACCGTTCGTCTGTAACATCTGCAACCTGGCCTTCACCAACAAGCGGGGAATGACCAACCACAGGAACACCCACGTCAAGCCGTTCTTGTGTGAGGATTGTGGCAAGTCGTTTTCTCTGAAATATGGTCTGGCCAAACATCGCATCAGACGTCATAAACCGGAAGAAACTGAAGACAAAAGCCAGAACTCTGATCAGTCTGAAGACACTGCATGATTTCTCTTGCAAAAGCCATTACAATTTTAAACAGACATTCTAGGAGGGCATTTTACACCATAATTCTATTATGATACACAGCCAAGTTGTTGCTGTTGTTGTTGTATATTAAATCAAAACACAGCAACTTGGTTTGTAATTTACTTACTAGCTGCAATTTTTTTCTTCCTTGCTTTTACAAAATTCCTTATAAGAAGGATAAGGATTTTATTTAGATATGGAGTTTTTATCAAACTTTTTCACCAAGTTTATTCAAACAAATAAGTGATTGTGTGTCAGATTTCACCCACTTACATGTACTCCTCTTTTTTACCTATAAACTCATGATAGAGACTTCAGATAGCAATGAAATGGAATTTGCCTTTTGAAGTTTCACCTAAATTGAAGGTGTCTTCACAGTCTTCTATAAACCATTATCATGTTGCGGCCATCTTGATTTTTTTCCCATTCAGATCAATGTAACCAAAGCGAGGCTGGAAGGAAAAATAGTCTGGTTCCTTTTTGCACAAAAACATTATCATTCAGTACTGTTACAGGGCACATGACTAAAATGGTGGAAGTATGATAAAGGTCTATTGTCTTAAATGATTAAATATAAACATCCAGTGCCCTTTTTTTTTAATAGTCCAAACGCATGGACCAACTTTGAATTACAGTGTTAAATTTTTCGAGATAACTTCTCTCAGATTTTCAAGAAGAGCATTACGATCTCATCAGCTCTATCCTACACAATCATGCATTTTGAATTAAGAATATACATACGTACTCGGTTTACATTATCAAAGGAATGCACACACAATCACAAGGTTGGTCTTTAATGGAAGGAGAAATGGAAATGGCGCCCTAATCCCCCAAAACGACACTAAAATTACTAAAGGATTTTTTTTCTTTTCCTGTTTTCAACAATAAACTTTCCCAACCAAAATGAATTTCAGGAGAAAGTATTGTCTTAAAAATGTAAACAAATAAAGAATTTGACAATCTGTTTTTTAAGAACCTGCGCTAGCCATCCATATCAGCTGGTTGTGATAAAATGTTTCCAGTGAATGTTATTCTACCACACTATCTAGCATTTGTGATTGTGTTTGTAAACACAACATTGTCACAATAAATAAAAGTATGTTATATGAAAATTGTCATTGTTAATCATGTTCTTTGTGTACTTGTACATGTACCAGTATCCCCTCCCTTTCCATATTCCCTAAATATGTGAGTATGCACTTGAGCTGGTCTGTTTACTTGCAATTGTACAGTGAAAAAAATGGTTGAAACGACTGTAGGGTGGGAGAGAAGGGGCTTTTAGGTGGTCTTCTCCCCCCCCCCCCCTTGTCCATAAAAAGTAGGAAAATACAGAAAAAAAATAATGCATGCCTACCCCCGCCAATTCCCCCCCCCCCCCCGGCCCCTTCGCCAAAGCAGGATTCGACCCTGAATCCAAGGCATAAGGAAAAACGTAAAAGAAAAAGCCCTACTTCCACCTCGTAATTATTTAACGATATTAATTACAATAGTCGATTTTCACCCCCCCCCCCCCCCCCCCCCGCCTTGTCTACTTATATACTGGACGCCACACACAAAAAATGCGTTGATCTTCCTCGAAAGGGGGCGCTGTTGTCCGTTTTCGGTCCGGTTTCCAGCAGTCCCGTCATGCCCATTTTGCTGAACCTCTTTAATCATTGTTATTATTAATTTATCATCAAACGAATTATTCAAGAATATCGAGACTTCATTACCAGCTGCTGCAGACCTATGTCATGTAAGTACTAGAAAGGTAGACGCAGTAGAGTACTCACTCGCTGTACTTTCTGTGTTTTGGGGGTCGCCGTAACTCAGTCAATTAGCTTGCACGGCCGGTCGGGTACCCGGTTCCGATGCACAGACCATGCACTATGCAGACAACCCTATTTTTATTTTCAAGAGCCCCAGTTCAACCATGGAGCGTGCGTTGTGGTAATGTGATCATGTACTTTGATGTAGTCTATGACTACTCCTAGAACTATGAGGCTCCACGTAGTGGAGCCTCATAGGTTCAGAAGCCCGCAAAATTGTTGTCAGCACAAAACACTAATTAAGTACAAAAACGTCCATCCCAAGCAGGCCGTTTTCCACAGAACCGCTGCACAGTTTGCCCCTAAACTCCATACAATACCTCATGACATACTCACGTTATGTGCACCCAACAAACATCGGTGGATTCTGTCTGTTTTTCGGCAAAAATGATGAAAAATATGCCCTTTCCGCACTGAGCCAACCTAACACTTGAAGCGAGCACGCGTGCAGAATGATCGCAGTTATTTTCGGTTCGATCGGAGCGCGCCGCGGGGGGTACGTACTTGCACTTGTACGCATGTGCATACTATCGTTCCGCTCCTACACCATACCCCCCGCGGCGCGCTCCGAGCGATCGAACCGAAAATAACTGCGATCATTCTGCACGCGTGCTCGCTTCAAGTGTTAGGTTGGCTTAGTGCAGAAAGGGCATATTTTTCATCATTTTTGCCGAAAAACAGACAGAATCCACCGATGTTTGTTGGGTGCACATAACGTGAGTATGTCATGAGGTATTGTATGGAGTTTAGGGGCAAACTGTGCAGCGGTTCTGTGGAAAACGGCCTGCTTGGGATGGACGTTTTTGTACTTAATTAGTGTTTTGTGCTGACAACAATTTTGCGGGCTTCTGAACCTATGAGGCTCCACTACGTGGAGCCTCATAGTTCTAGGAGTAGTCTATGACCCCGTCCCCGTTCCATTTATGAAAACGAAAAGGCACTAAGTTTTATGTTTTGCATGTTTTGGGACTTTATGCCAAAATGTGTCACGCCCCAACTATCGCATCGGTCCCAACTATAGTTGGGACTGTCCCAACTATAGTGCAGCAGTTGGGTCGGCCCAACTATAGTTAGGACTGGAGTTGCGCCGGATGCTTCATGCTTGATAGATCTTGTTGGATTAAATGTTCCGCGGCGCTGGCACCGTGTATTCGTCGTGCATGCATGCCGCAAGGCTGGCCGGTCACGTGGTACTGCCTAGTTGGATGAGTTGTCCAGCTGCTGGGTTGATTGTCCAGCAACATTTTGCAAAATTCAAAGATTGCCATGGCCGGCCAACTATAGATGGGCCCCACCCATAGCTAATGTCAAAGGTCCCAAGTAAAGTCGGACAGTATGTAACAGAGCTGTAGGGAATGTTTTATAGTCGTCGTACATCAATGTAAACTATAGTTGGGACTGCCAAATAAAAATATTGCGGTGGCCCAACTACAGATGGTCCCCACCCATAGATAATTTCATTGGTCCCAAGTAAAGTCAGATGTGTATTAATGTAGGGAATGTTTTATAATCGTACAACAATGTACACTATAGTTGGGACCGCAAAATAAAAAGATTGGAGTGGCCCAACTATAGATTCGCCCCATCAATAACTAATTTCAGTGGTCCCAGTAAAGTCAGACGTGTATCAGAGCTGTAGGGAACGTCTTACAGTTGTACATCAATGTAAACTATAGTTGGGACACCGCAAAATAAAAAGATCGGAGTGGCCCAACTATAGATGGGCCAGCCCAACAGTGGAACTTACAGTTGGGACCATCCCAACTATAGTTGGGACAGGCCCAACTATAGTTGGGCCAGCCCAACTGTGGAACTACAGTTGGGACAGGCCCAACTATAGTTGGGACAGGCCCAACTATAGTTGGGACCAATGCGATAGTTGGGGCGTGACAAATGCACCTGTCAAATGTACCTCAGGATCGACCAATTGCACATGTCCATTTCTGCGCGATTGCGTGATAATGTAGATCCACCGATTGCCCCCAACCAAAGTATTCTGTCCTTTAAAGTTTAATATGTAGTCGGATTTGCAAAGCAATTTTGTTTTGTTTTTATTTCATGTAGATGCTGGCTTGAAGTCTCAGAGGAAGTTGGCGTCATAACACAGTGCTTTTGAAATAAACGCAAGGCGTGTGAAAGTACAACAGGGCCATCTGTCTGCATCATGGCTTCAACCTCCGGGGATGCTAGCTCATCGTGTATTGTGATCTGCAACAAGATCTGTGGGGAAGCCTTCATGAGCAAGGAAGAGCTTGAGGAGCACCAGAGGAGCCACATCTTTAGCCAGTCCTTCATGTCGGCACTCAAGGTCAGCTTGCCCGAGGAGAGTATTCCCGATAATGCCGATCCATCCACGTTATTTGCTGTCCCTCCCACCAGGGATGTACCTGTGGTCCCTTGCACCCTCTGCGACAGAGTCTTCACATCGGAAAATCGTCAGGTCCGCCATCTGCAAACTGTCCACGCCAGAAAGGAACCGATTACCTGCGCCACGTGCAACAAAGTCTTCACACTACGAAGCTCATTGAAACAACACCAGAAGATCCATTTGAGACAGCCCAAGCCGCCCAAGGACAGGTCTGTTTCCTGCGACATTTGTCACAGGGCCTTTAAACATAAATCTCTGTTGAAATGCCACATGAAATACCACTTTGAGGAGAAACGCCACAAGTGCAGCGATTGTGGTAAGAGCTATTACACCAGCCACAATTTGAAAAACCACATGAGGAGCCACACAGGAGACCGGCCGTACGCCTGTGAGATCTGTAACAAGACGTTCGCAGTGTTGACTTGCCTCAAAAGCCATCTGGTGGTCCACGAAACAAATCATCAGTATGTGTGTGAAATCTGCGGCAAGTCTTTCAGCCGCCAGAACAACTTGACCAGGCACGTCAAGCTTCACTCCTTGGAGAGACCGTTCGTCTGTGACATCTGTGACCAGGCCTTCTCCGAGAAGGCAACGATGAAGGAGCACAGGCAAATCCACACCAAACCGTTCTTGTGTGAAGATTGCGGCAAGACATTTTCTCGAAAGGCTGCTCTTAAGAGACATACTTTAAAACGTCATGCTCAACCTTAAGAAGTTCAAGATGACTGCCAAAGCTCAGACTAAAAACGTATAGCCATGATTTTTATGAAAAACCAGAAGATTCAACAGACTTTCCAGGGATCACATACATGTAATTCAATTTGTTTTTCCCGCATTGTTAACTTGGTTTGTAGATGTTATAGAAGTCTTACTAGCTGCAACTTTTTTTTCTTTATCACTCTTTCAGTATTCAGACATGGGATTTTTCTGACTATTCACCACATATTTTATACAATAAAAGTTTCATGAATCATGGAGTGCATTCTAAGGAAATGTGAATATGACAGCACATTATTTGTCAAAATATCACCATCTCTCTAGTTTGTTGTATTCACATGTTGAATATAAGTCAGTACTTTAGAATATGTTCAGGATTAATTTCTTTTTAAGGAAAGCGATGGGATAGTAATGAATGAGAAATTGCAAGAGCTGCCCCCCCCCCCCCCCAACAACAACAAAAACAAATAAAATTGCATGGGGTCACCTCTGATAGTACTTTTTTCCTTGCTTTTATTCGGCAAAAAGCTGGATTATGAAAATGGGTTATACATTTCAGAAAGTCTGCAAATATTCCCAATTCTAGTGTTTAAACAAATCTGTTTTGTTTGCCATGGAACTGAAAAGAACTACAATTTTTCTTTTGAATTTCTTTCCACCACAATTCATTATCTAACGATGTTCAAACTAAGGAAAACATTGACAAAATAAAATAAAGTGCATTGTATGAAATTAATTATGGGTGTTCATCTCATTTTTTTTTTCCTCATCGTTTTTTACCCCCACCCCAAGGTACATGTGATTCCGTAATTATGAATTAGATTTGTTTTAAAAGACTTTAATTTATTTGCAACATTCAAGCAGCAGAAATTTTATTTTGTTTGTTTTGTTGCGGAAAGGAATCAATGACTATTATTAGAAAATCCAGTGTGCATCATTTTTATGGTGAAAATTTGAAATAAAAAAAGACAAGCAAAATGTTTCTTATAAAAAGTGAAGCGCCAACCCAAAAATAAGGATGTGCAAGACGCATTCAGTGGTGACCCCCCCCCCCCCCCCCCCCCATTTTTCGATTCCCGCCCCTCAAAGATACGTTAGGGCGCCACCATGAAAACCCAGACCAAAGGATTAGAACTTTCCATTTTATCCAACCGATTTTCCCCTTTTTCAATTCGTTTCTGAACAAGGCATATTCTCCCCAGTTTAAAGACAATATTTTTTTTGTGAGTGTTCAGGACAATGTTATACTTTTAATACGATAATAATAGTAAGTAAATTGAACCATGGAGGTAGATGATTGAACCTATTATGGCGGCAGTGAACATCACATAGCATCTAATCTTGGTATCTCAGGTTTTTTGGTAAAAACAGGAATGTTATGGATTTTTAAAGGTTTTTTTTAACATCGCACGCATTAACTGAATCCACAAGGCTTTTCTTTTATATTAGGATGCTCAAGCTTAATATGCAAGAATGTAACCGAAGAGGTCACTTTACTTTTTCTTAAATCCACTAAATAAACTACTTGGGTGAGGACACTCAAGTCATAGCCCGCGCCGCGCCCGGAGAGCAAGAGGGCGCCACCGTTTCGAGCATTTTGCAAAAGAGGGCGCTGTTGGCCTAAATGTGTTTACACTTTTCTGAGCTGCGGACAGCTTCGACATTACGAGCTATACAACAAAAATAGAAATATTTACCCATTAAAACTACCAGGTGACTTAACCTTCAGCCTAGGGCATCACTGGTAAGACTTCTTCATTGTTTTGATTTATTTATTTGTTTGGTTACTTATCTATTTAACAAGCATTTTTCCAACGGGCCCGTGAAGTGAATTTCATGTTTTCATTTTTTTTTCAATCATGTCAATCAAAGACTTAAGACGTAATCACACGGGCATAGTGACACTGACAGCTGGAAAAGAGTGTTGCATCCTGATCCTGCCGCCACTTTTTAAATCTATTATATCAATGAAGGTCAGTCATTGCAAAAATGTTGAAAAAGACATACATTTTGGATTGAGAAACATATCCAAGTTTGTTAGAAAATGTTTATTTGAATATGCACTCAACTCTCCATAGACTCTGTACACAACGGTAGATGTGGCGTCGGGATGATACATTCTTTCCGACTGCTGCTTTTTCATAAACTGTTATTGTTATTGTTAATGTTAAGGAACACACTTCAGTTACACCGGACGCATGGGGTCAGTTAGTCCAAAAATTTGGGACTTTCGATACTAATTTGCATTTTCTTTTCTCTGTTTTGCTCTTTTTGTCTTTTAACCAGAAGAATGGCTGTAAAATTGAACCTTGCGTGATGAAGTCTTGATTGGAGACGAAAGTGGATGGAGACGAAAAGTCTCAAGATGGTCCAAGAAGTTGGCTCAGTCATCCAGGAACTTCTGAAATGTCCTGTGTTCCCAGACCGGTTTCTTCAGACTTGACGTCTTGGGTACATCTGCACTTTTGAGAAAAAGTAACAACGTGGGATTCACATAACTACAGAAACACTCCCCCCTTAAACATGTCTAAAGACGGGCCCTTCTCTTGCGACGTTTGTAACAGAGAGTTTTCGATCAAAGGAAATCTGAAAATCCACTGGAGGACCCACACTGGAGAGAAACCGTTCCTGTGCGACATTTGTGGGACTGCCTTTTCTCTCAAACAATCACTGCAGCAACACCAGTTGTGCCACACTGGGGAGAAACCGGCGTCATGTGGTGTTTGCGGCAAATCTTTCCGAGACAAGCAATCTGTCAGAAAACATCAGACAGTACACACCGGAGATAAGCCATATGTCTGCGATATCTGCAGCAAAGCCTTCGCATCCAATCCCAATCTTCGTCAACACCGCAAGGTTCATTCCAAAGAGAAGCCGTATGTTTGCAGCAGCTGCGGTGTGGCCTTTTCAAGAAAAAGCAGCCTGCGCAAGCATGTAAAAAAATACCACATTGTTGGAAAACCAGTTTACTGTGATATCTGTGGCCGCACAATCCCACAAGAAAATGTTGTAGAAATAATACTGCAGGCGGACACTGCCGTAAAGGCGTTTGTGTGTGGCTTCTGTGATGATCCTATTCAGAAACGCAAGAGACTAAAGAGCCATCTGCATGTCGATATACAAGAGGAGGCAATTATTCTTGTTGCGCATGAAGAGGTCTGTCCTCGTGACGATCTAGAAAATCACCATGAGGAAAAAACTGACAGGACACTTGGCTCAGAAACGCAGAGTTGTATGGAATCTCACAGTGGGGACAACACCGGGGATGCATCTGACCCAGAGACACATAGTCCCACAGAACACCAACGTAGGGACAAAACTGGTGAGACATCGATCCATGAAACGGCCAGTCTTACAGAACACCCCCATAGTGACAACATCAGTGGAACGTCTGGCTGTGGGGACAGCACTGCGCACAGTTGTATGGAATCTCACAGTGGGGACAACACTGTGGCTGTGTCTGACCCAGAGACACATAGTCCCACAGAACACCAACATAGGGACAAAACTAGTGAGACATCGATCCAAGAAACGGCCAGTCTTACAGAACACCCCCATAGTGACAACATCAGTGGAACGTCTGGCTGTGGGGACAGCACTGTTGAAATATCCGTCCTAGAGACCGACGGTCTTCCCAAAAGCAACGTAGCTCCATCCCCCAATGAGCCGTTAGATGGTAACAATCAGAGAGCTAGCCCACGAAAAAGCGCACCAAAATTTCAGCGAGGAATTGCCGTCGGAGATAAGTCATCTACAACCAAAATTGGTGGCAAATCCTCTCTGAAAAGAAAGAAGCCTGCAAAGCGTGCCAGAATTCGCGCCACGGGTTTGTTCGTTTGCAACGTATGTTACAAAGCCTTTGCAATCAAAGGAAATTTGGAAATGCACCGCAGGATCCACACGGGCGAGAGGCCATTTCTGTGTGATCATTGTGGCAGTACCTTCCCACGCAAGCAAGCGCTGCAACATCATCAGTTTTGTCATACGGGAGAGAAGCCGTATTTGTGCTACATGTGCGGCAAGTCGTACAGAGGGGGGAAATCTCTCCGAGATCATCTACGAACCCACACGGGAGAAAAACCACACGTTTGTGAAGTCTGCGACAAGGCCTTCTCAAACAGCGCCAACTTTCGCCAGCACTGCAAGACTCACTCCAAAGAGAAGCCGTATGTTTGCGGCACCTGCAGAGTCGTCTTTTCAAGACGAACCAGTCTTCGTAAGCACATCAAGAAGTTCCATGTTGGACAGAAACAGTATAACTGTGACACATGTGGCATTGCAGTCTCACACAAAAGTGTCGTAGAAACTCTACTGCGTTCCTCAACTATTGTACAAGTACTCCTGTGTGACTTTTGCGCAAACCTGTGTAGAGACAAACTTACTATTCGAACTGTCAAAAAATCACATATTCAGTGAAGTTGGTAAAATTTTTAGCAAAACATGAATGCAAAGAATGTTCAGTACGGGTACCAATTGATAGTTGTCTGTTAGTAAAACCAGGCACAAAACAAAAAAAAATCACTCTGATTTCCTAACTTGTGAAATTTCCTTTGTTTTTTACCAGCGATCAACCTTTAAATCAAACCATTGAGAAATTGTGTGGAATCTTTGAATTATTCGTCCAGACATTTCTTTTCAATTCTTCCCACAGTTTTCACACATAAACTGGCATTGCTGGCAAAATTTAAGATTGAGTACTTTAAGGCAAAACTATTACAAGTGTAGACTTCATTTGAGGACGTCTGATATTTCTGAGGAGGTAGTTTACAAAGTGTTTAGTAATAAAACAACAGCACTTACTTGTGAAAAACCCTGTTTTTAAGAGTATTGGTTACAGATTATGAATTTTTGTGTCCCAAAGAGATTTTAGCAGAGTTGTCAGAGACCATTATTTTAAACTAAAGACCGGTTCTAAGATCATTCAGCAGATGTATACTTGTGGGATTCAGGAAAGGTCTTAACTACAGTGCTTGAATACAGAATCGCTGTGTCAATGAGAAGTAAAGAAGAAAAAACTACTATTTGTCTCGTGTATTAATTCAGTTCATTTTACCACAGATGAGTTCATATACAGCAAAGATTAAATCGAGTCGCTACCATCTTTAACATACAGTGAAAAAAAATAAAATACTTCCCACTATCAGTGCCCCCATAGGGTGAATGGGTGTAGCAAGGACAGGGCAAAGGCCCCCCCCCCCCCCCCCCCCCCGGAAAAGAAAAAAAAACAGTTTAATACACATTAAACAAAATGGGCTTCTGCCCGAGGTCAAATGGGGGTGGGCAGGGCAAATCACCCTCTAAAAAAATCCTGGCGATGCCATAGTCTTATTCTTTCCCTCTTCCCCCCCCCCCCAACAAACATTAAAATGCCTCCAGAAACTCCACACCAAATCAAAATGACTCTATACCACTACACAAAATGTGTCTTTTGTTCCAGGATAAAAAAAATAGTAGCCTACTAGTCAAGTTACACTGAATTCGCAATTTGAGAAATGGCCAAATATCAGAACTACAGAGGGCGCTGTTTGTAAAAAAAAAAAAAAGAGTCCTGCCTTGTATTATTTTGTAAGGCATGTTCTGTGTCAGAAATTAATGTTTTGACAAAGTAGGGATACAAAAAGACAGGGACAGAAAAGATGCAGTGTAAATCTCTTCATTGATCAATCAGACTTTTGCCTCAAAATATCGCTTAAAAAGAGGTCCGAGCACAACATAGGTTAAAGGGAAGATACAACCTTTGCAAACATCAAAAAACAAAAGATCAAATTATTTACTGGACTGTTAGGGAATGACAGTCTAAAGCATCCTGTGCTATCATGGCTCCTGGTGTGCTGACATTTTTAAGTGAAGTCGTATTTATGTATCAAATTCCAACGCTGGTCGGCCGACCAGCATTGGAGAAAACTAGCTTTTTTTTCAAAAATTGCTTCTACTTTTCATATTTAGTTATTCCGCATTTTCTTTGCAATTGATTACACACCTGTGAAGGGGTACAAGCCAGCTAGACTGATTCTCTGACCTTATAATTCCCCAACGTCTATAAATTGCTTCGTTTCATCTTAAGTGGGGTCGGGGAACCATACTACAAGAACATAATTGGTTTTCTTGGTTTTCCAGCATCTACAAACCCAGAACGTGAAACAAGTCAGTGTAACAATATTTGCTTTAACATACTATTCCTCCAAATCCATTTATTTCTAAAAAATTACAGCAAAAACAAATGTACTGTACATTCCCTTTAATGGCAGTATGAATTTTTTTACCGTAAATATTGAGCAGCGCCCTCTATAGCTTAGAAACTTTCTTCCAATCAAAATCGCCCTTTAATTTAAAGAATAGCGCCCTCTATAGTTTCGAAACTTCTTTGCTTTAATATTATTTACACCCAGACTTCTTTCCATTGGGAAATAATTAAATGCATCGTATGAAACCAGACTGCTAATTTTGTCAGCGTGATCGTAAACAGAAAGTATGCAAGCGATTTAAAGGTCAGCAGAAAACTTTATTATTCTATACTTTGATGACCCAGAAAAGTGTTGATCTGCTATTTTACAGAAAAAGCATATGTGAGTTTATATACCAATGGGATTTCAATGAAATAACGCCAGGGTTTTAACATGTTAACAAAAAATAACACTAATAATTAAATAAACACATGACAAACAAAATTTTATGCACACAATTTGTATAGACATACACAACATGCACAGTACTCATGACATGACAGTACACAACACTGCCGCAGTGCTGTGTCAGCTGTCGCTGCAGATTGAACTTAAGTGAAACAGACCAATACAATAACACTGTTCACAAATTGGAAAGAAGTTTGCATCCTGACGCCACTTTTTCATCAAATATTATCATGTCAATGGAGGTCGGTCATTGCAAAAAAGCAGAAAAGACTTCTGGGACTGAGAAACATCTGCAATTTTGTTCAAAAGTACTTTGAAATTCTTCTTGACTCTCCGTAGACTTTGGAAAGATTCCCATATCTGGCCATCACTAATTTTTCCCTTCAGTGACCTATCCGCAATCAGAAAGTGATAAAATGTCCTAAAAAATAACATTTAGCAGGGAAAATATTGAAGTATTGATAATTTACTGAGAAAATACTTAGGCCTAATAATTTTCAGACCAGTCTCGTACTCGTAGGGTTTGTGTGCACAGATTGAAAAGTGATGGCCAGTTTTGGGAATCTTTTCTACACCCCAACTATAGGCCTACCATCGGTCACAACATTCGTTGGGGAAAAAATGTAGTCCGCCTAGGCCTATCCTGACAGCACTTTACAAACGAATAAACAACATAACTTGTAATCTTAGATAATCTTCCATTTGAACTAGACCCAGTAACTGGGGACTTCCAGAACTGTAAAAAAAACTTACAGTTCTGGAAGTAGTAACTGGGGGGCTAGTAATTACTGTGTCTAACATTTGAACACTTTTAGAACTTTATCTGAACATTTCCCCGGGTAAGTCTGAGATTTCAGGTGGAAAATATTGTCCCGATATTGCACACTTTGCAGTTTGTCATTTATATTGATTTGAAAAGAGGCTCCAGTGACTCAGCAAGTTTGTGCAATATGAATATATCATGTCTTTTTCCTTTTTTTTTTTTTTTTTTAAATTGTTTTACAACTCAGAGAGACCCTGAATAAAGTTGTCAATTTTCAAGTTACAAACAAATTACAATGTACTTAAAACGTCTCTATCAAGACAGAAACTGTCACACTGTTTCCTGCCTGGCTCTGCTTGGTGAGATGCCTGTAGTGTAAGGGTCAGGGATAACAAGCATCCTACTGACCCAGGCCTACCACCCACAAAAAAAGAGGTAAAATTGTGATGTAAGTCAAGTCAAGTCTGTCCTTCACGCATGGTTCTCCTCCTGTGAAAGTCAATTACACACCATCACCACTGACAGGACATGACACCATTGGCATTGCATCCTTTACTCCAGAGACCCACGCATAGCGTCAGCCTCCTACTGGTCCTGTCATGGTCTGAGCCTAGACACCTGCGGGTTTGTTTTTGCTCAGAATATTGTGTCATTCGGATGGAGCCAGACTAAAATTGACCAAATATAGCCCTGAATGTCCTGTGCTGTCGGTTTACCTTAAGAACTGTGATTATTTTGTAATTTTTGGGTCTGTCATGAATGTGGGTCCAGTTTTCCCTGTCCCTTTTACATCTGACATACATTATCTATGATTTTATAATTCTGATGCACTCCTTATTATTAATGCAGTCGTTCTCCAAGAAATAAATAAAAATTGAAGTCATTCTTAATGTACTTGAATAGCAAATTACAAAGTACCAAGGTAACAGGGACAGGAATAATGTCACACCTTGGACCCTGAATGTTTAGAATGACCAATTCGCATTGGCTTCAACTTTCAGGTTTTCAGCAAAATTACAAACAAGATTTAGTTTCATTAATACTTTCTCACTTCCTTAACCCCCTCCTGAAAAACTGAAAACCAAATGTATGCAAACAGTCCGTAATAATAGATGCTTTCTAACCAAAGACAAAACAAATCTAATTATTTGTAGAAGTTTGGGAAGAGAAACAGTTCAGACAAATTTGAAAGAAAACTGTCTCAGTTTTTAAGTCAAATTGTGGTCAACTGTTTTCACTTTTCTTTGACTTTGGTTTGACAATCATTCAAATAATTTCTTTGATATAAAAATAAGTGTTGTTTTTGCAACATAGTTTCAGCAAAATTCGCACTAAAGACTATTTTTCTAAGACCTCTTAGATGGATACCATCTATTTTTATTCCCAGACAATCTAAAAATGCCAACGGTTGACCAAGCACTCAGCAGGCTCCATATCATTACATATATACCCCTGAACATTTCCCATTATTATTATTATTTCCACAGACTTGTTGGTCCAGATTGACTGGAGATCTGCTGCTAACACCACCACCGGCCTCAGGGCCGATGTATTTGTTTCTCAACTTTCCAGCGGGGTGCCAAAACCACTGCATGTATGGCCAGAAGGTTGATATTGGCTGAGAGGTTGAGGGCATTCATCTCAAGGGGGCGGAGCTTAGATGGAGAGAGAGGAGGTGACAGAAGGCGGACCATGGTCAATCCCTGGTGAGTTTTTAGGAATTTTCTCAAACCAATCATCTGTAGGTTTGAGAGACCAGCGTTTAAAGTGTTCTACAGTAGAGGCTATAAAAGGATTTCATACCAAAGATAAAGGCAAAGCTGGAGATGAATAAAACTAAGGGTTTGAAAATACCTTAAAAGTCTCTTTTTAACCACATTTCAAAATCAGTCTTCTGTTGAAAACTTTTCCTAAACATATTTTTTGTTCTGGCCTAAATATAGTTGATGCATTATTTTTATTTTTAAAAATCTGTTGAATATTTTCTAGCTAAGTAGTGACAGAAATTCCCTCCAGGCCGTGCCTTGTTTAGCCAAGTCTAACAAATAAAGACCGACTTTCCAAGGTGTTCTGGGGGGCTTGACGATCTAGAACCCATTCAGTATAGTCTGGAGGTATTTGACCTCAATTATTCCCTTTGATTGTTTGTACAGTATTAAAACCATGTAGGGCTGTGCCCAGGGGGTCCTGATTACAATCAAATGTTACAAATTGTGCTTAGGCTGCGTATGCGTTACAACTATGACCAGATTTCTTTATTTGGATGTTATGTTTAATTAGCAGTTAATTAGTCTCCTACACGTGGGATGGAACAGATGGGATTCCTTTTTCTTGTTTTAGTACTTGGCTGAAAGGTTGCTATGGAAACAAATGTATAAACCATTGGCTATGTTTCTTATGTGGCAGGGTTTAAAGATTCTATTTGCCACATATTCATTTTTATTATTTTTTTTTGAAATTCTGGGTTTTCATAATAAGAAGTGCAACTTCAGGGGTGATTTATTCTAAGGAGAATTTCTAATATACCGTATAAGTGGATATCAGCTGAAAAATGGAAGTGAAAAGGAAAATCATGAGATTTTCTTTAGTTACAACTTATATGACTGAATGGTCAAACTGCTTC